ACGGGAGCGGGAGGAGACGCGTCCCGGGGAGGCGCGCAGAGCCGCTCCCGAGCGCCCCCGCTGCCCAGCCGCGGGCAGGCACGCGCCTTCCCCCCTGGTACCGGCACCTTTCGCCACCCGGCAGCACCGGGGCATTTCCATCAACACACGCGCCACGTACCGGGATGTACCAGGACAGCGCAAATTACGTTGCCAATTGCCAGGGATGGAGCAGAAACCCTCGGCCCGGGGGCACCCCAGCTCTGTCCCCTGCACTCTCCAGGTAACCTACGTGCGTGTTTACCTACTGCAGGGTTCCCAAACAGCGTACAAATCTCAGACTGGGGAGCTGTGGGGTACGATTGCCATTCTTCCGGTTCAGGATCACATCGGCCCTGGAGCAGCTACAAACCCGCTGCAAGTGAAGTGGGTACAAGCCCTGGCATGAGCCCTTCTCTCAGCAGAAGGGCAGGTGGTGGTCCATCATTTTCTCCCTGCGCTTGATGTTCCTTCCCCCCACCTCCCTGCCTCTGCTTCCCACCTACATCCTCCATCGGTCCCACTTCCCTCTCCGCTGCACCCCTGCGCATCCTTCTCCTGCCAGCAACGCTTCCCGGCTTCAGGCAGCTCTGCAGCCTGCACCAGAGAGAGGAAGACAGTTCAGACAACCGCCGTATTTGTGTCCTGGCATTACAGGTGAGAATGAACAAGTACCTTCCATCTGTGAAGCACTTTTATTAGAAAACAGAACCCTTACAAAAAAGGCATGTACCAAACACCTTCTCCCAAGCTGGTCAGCAGTTTTCAAGGTGAAATTGAAAGCTGTGGGTAAAGATTTTCCCCTCAGAGGTCAGAACAGTTTATCTCAGTCCTGGTTTTATTCTTTTTTTACAAAACCAGAATGCCCACATGCAGAAGTTTTTGCGAGCATCTCCATGAAATCCTATGACTGAATTTCATATCCCAAAGGATCAAGATCCTGGTCCAGAAGCATCAGAGAAGATTCCATCAGCTTCTGCAGTAGCTTTCGGAGTTCTTCCTTTGAAAATACCTAAGAATAATAAAAAAGAGACATAGTACATTGTATTTATTTGCAGTGATCAGCACCGATACCAGAGTAAAAGGTTGGTAATTAAGTTATTAAACGCCTTTCCCTCCCTCCCTCTTCTTTCTTCCCTCCCGTTTAAGCCAGTGCGAACACCAGACATTTCAGAGGGGCGTTTCATGAAGGACTGGAAGCTGGTAGCAGAATCCAAAACCTAACGGTGTCTCAAGACAGCCCTGCCTCATAAAGACACAGAGATCGTTGGCAAGCAGCCAGAGGTATTGTTCTCGTTACTGCTGGCAGAGCTCTTGAGCCAATCCAGGCCAATGCACCACAGTGTTTTTCTCAGCCTTGATGTTTCTTTTCAGATTTCCAATTCTCATGTGTTTTTTGGGGGTGGGAGGAGTGCTGTGGTTTAGTTTGTTGGGGTTTTTTAACTGATAAAGTTTTTTTGTGTTGTTTTTCAGGCTGTTGGAGGGACAGAGGGTTAAGCAAACCAAGTGCTCCAAAACAAAACCTGCTTATACATGCTCTGAAGTACTACAGTTCCACTTATTTCAATTCAGTAGCCCCCCCCCATCCAAAAATCAGTAACGGAACTACTCAGAAGAACTGTTAGTCAAAACACTGAAACTCTGAAGGCGATGCCAAGGTTAAGTCTCGGATTCCTGAAGTCAGCACACGAGGAAACCCTTTACTACTGCAGTGAACGTGAGGGGGATGAAGAACGCACAACCTTCTTCTCTACAGAGAGCCTTGTTCTGCAGCCGACCCCCGGAGCTCGCACATGGCAGATAAGCTGGGACTCACCGCATAAAGCTTGTGTCGCTCAGAAGCGACCATGTCAGCCAGACGCAGGCACTCCTGATACTGCCCGGTACTGTGTAACACTGTGTGCAGCAAAAAGCATATCATTGGCAGACACAGCCTTCGCAGCAAAATCATCTGGTGCGCTCGCTCCGGGTCGTCCTCGGCGTCCTTACCATAGCGACACAGTACGTTAGTATGGTGAACATTCACCTGGGAAAGGCAACTCAGCGTAACCACGTAACTAGCAGCGTCAGAGGCAGAAAAACTGGACTAACCAGCCCAGACTGGACTGCCAGGTGCCATTATATGGTAACTGAAGGGGAAGCAACCTGTCACGGGTCAGAGCAGGGCCAGGGTGAACTCCAACACAGTAAGCAGATGGACGGCAAACTAGAGAGGACAGAGGTACCAGCGGGCACACTCTGGCTCTGTGGTCCACGCCATGACAGAAAAATCCCTTTTACCTCTCTAACATCCACCATCCATCCTCCATCAACAAACAGCAACACGTTGTACATCTTCTCTTTCACATCAGCTGTAAGAGCATCCAAGAGGCCTTTCCAAATGCCATAGTCCATCTGGTGAGGAAACACAAAATAAACTGCTGCAGGGCAGGACAATTTCCAAGGCTATTTTAACACAGACTCTCCACCTCGCATGCAACGCAGCTGCAATTCAAATCAGAACCTTCAGCCAACTGCCCAAACTAAAAGCCTCCCGCTAACAGCTATTTCTGTCCTTGCTTAACTCCCCGCCCAGAATCAGACAGGTTGTTCAGAAGCAGTCGAAGCCACCAGAGGAAGATCATTTTGAACAGCTTATTCTGCCAGGCTTATGTAACAAATACTTATGTAAATTGAATGCAGTGTATTCGTCGTGGCCAGACACATAAAAGGAACTTGTGGCAAAACAAACAGAACTGCAGCGTCTTTTAGAGAAGAAAACATGACAAATGTGAGAACACAAGACAGCCTTTGTCCTCCGTTTCCAGGGAAGAGTTAATAGCAACATCAAGTACTCGGATTTATTAACAACGCTGACTACGACGAATATTTACTGTTACAGTATGCAATACTGTATGTAAAGCTGAGCCATACAGCTCAGTTCTCAAAGCATGAGAATTCACTGTGCAGGGGCATCACAATTCTATCTCCTATTCCCTCTTTTCAACATAAAACCAGAATAATTCAAAAGAGTTCCTAAACAACATGAATTAGCAGACTTCTACTCCGCTTCATTACACTAAGACTGCTCCCTGAGCAAGAACGTAAATCCTTGTAGTATATAACAACTTCTACCTACCTCGTATTTCTTTTCTTTATGTTCATGGGCCACTTTTTCAGTGAAACTTGCTTGTGGTAACAAAGAAGGCTTCTGCGGGGCCGAGTTCATGTGTTTAAACCATTCATTGAAGGTTTCGTGGGCTTCCTGGATTGCATTGGAAACAAGTGTTTTGATACTTTTGAGTCATTTATGTAATTACAAGAATGTAATTAAATGCACAAAAGCCAAAAGTTACTTTGAATTGTAAGAACCACCTCGCTGTTGTGTAAACTCTCAGCTATAGCGCATCTGGGAAATCCAAAGTTAAATCAAATGGACAAAGCTTAGAGTTTAACCACCACGGCAAAGCCACTGTTACTTCTGCGCAATGGATACAGCATACTTAAAACTCACCAAATATGCCCAAATACATAAGTGTTCCCTTATAGCATTGTCATCTTCAGCTGGAAGTGGCGTATCCATTCCCTGCTCTTCCCATTGGTTATATATTTCTGCTATAGAGTCTTGGGGAATCTTCACAAACACATCTTTTGCCGCTTCATGTTTCTTGGATGCTACAAGAACGTGAACTAAGTATCAGCGGCCTTGCAATTTCCATGTTACTTGTATGAAGCGACAGTCCCGTGCTTTTTAACAGATTAATTCAAAGGTATGTCAAATGTCATGCCAAGAGCCAGAGAGAACAAAACCAGCATTTAAAAAGTCTGCAATATCTGTAAAGTTTAGTACCCAAGAACTTCCTCATGATGGCATTGCTTTGCTTCAGTGCTTCCGCCCTCTGTGCGGGATCAAACACGAGCCAGTCGATCACATCTATTTTCAGCTGGTCGGCCTGTAAAAACCAAACACACGGACAGCTTCACTAGCGTTTCACCTGTAGTGCTGAGTTCAGACACACTGAATCTGATCAAATACACAGCTTCCTAGAGATCCCTGGACAGCATCATGGCGTACGAACAAGGATCGCTTCGTTCACAATTTTGCTATCAAAAACGTAGAAAACAATCTCTTCAGACTAGAATAATTTAAAAATGCCTAAGTACTTTGAAAATATTTAGACCAATGGGTGAGCATCAGCTCTTAAAAACTTTCACGGATTACCACGCTTCCTCCTCAAACTGTACTAGGAGCACACCGCACAAACGTGATCTGTGGCGCCCTCGCTGCAAGCTTCAGGAGCGCCATCCGCCTGCAGCCACAGTTCTCCAACTCTTGCCTTAGACAAACTACCCGTTTGGCTTAGAGAGTTTCAACTTTGTACTGAACGGCAAGAAAACCCACCACAAGACTGCAACCTAGCTGCTGTCTTCCCAACCCTGCTGCGGCTGGAGTACCGAGCTGGATCCAAGCAACACTCAGCAGCCATGCCAAGGAAGCCGTCAGTAAAGGCAGCGTCTGTCGAAGCTAGAACGTGTCACTTCAGCACGTAACAGGGTACGTCTGAGATCCGAAGTATTAATCCTCATAGTTCTTAGAAACTACAGTAATATCCTGCTCTCAGTGTTTTCTTACAGGCTTTCCACGGGCTTTATCTCCACCCACTGCCCGCACACAGACGTGCTGCTGAGCAACGCACACCACAGCCCAGAAGACCAAGGAGATGCAGCAACAGAAGTTGTCATTAATTCCTGCAATTCAGCTCCTCACTTGATCACGTGGAAAGTGCGTGTCCCTCACAGGCTTTTTCAAGGCAATTTCCACCATCATTGGAAGAGAAATATGGATCGTGTACGGCAAACGACCCCGTAGTTGGTTGCCCACTGGCGTGTCTGCCCCACACAAAGTACGCTCACCTCCGTTGTGCCTGTATCCACTATATGGTCATGGTGACTGAATTCACCGGCATCCTTCTTGCGGATGTTTTCAACAACAGTTTTTGTTATGGTTGCGACATCCAGACCTGGGTAAGACAGAACCACGTAACAGCCATCATGGATTCAAACTTGCCATGAAAGGAATTTCAGACTCCAGCTGCTGATCTTATTACTTACTGCTAGTGATTCTCACCAGTCTGTGCACACTCGCACTGCCAGGCGGAATGATAAGCTTTAGAGACACATAACCTGCTGCAGGTATTTTAGAAGAATGATACTGGAGATACCAGAGAACATCCATCATGAGAAAAAGAGTAAGACAACTAACCAGATTTTCAGCCTGTGCTGGGGAGCAGCATATAGATATATTTGGTAAGACCACCAATTCCTACAATTCTGATGGCAAGACTATGATTTGACAGGAATGTACCAGGAAAAGCTCAGAATAGTTCTTGTACAGATGCTGAGGCAGGACGTTTTATTTTTGAAATCGTAGCCATGTTTTTCAAGAAAATGACTAAAAAATGATTGAAGAAAAAAGAATGAGACTGAATTCTGCAGTAAATCTGTTTCTTTGTGAATTCTGAGTGGCACAGAGGCACTGTCAAGCAATGGGCAGTGTGCTGCTTCACTGTAGCCCCTTTCAGCTTGATGTGTAGGCCTGGAAGGGAGCTTACAATTAACGCAAGCAACCCAGCACAGCTAAGAAAGAGCACCACAAATAGAACAAAAAACTTAAGATGCTCATAACCTTCCTAAATCCACAAACAGGTGTGTATTTTTGTAACCAGTTTTCCAAAATAACTTGATCATGCCAAGCTTCAGAGCATGTATTTGAGACAGGCAGCCGGCACTTCCTTCCTGCCGTGTTTGGGCATAATCCAGAAGCAGAAGTGCTACTGGGTTTAACTCAGAAAAAGAACTGCACTTCCAGGTTAGTTAAACCCCATAATATACCTATTTGAAGAAACAATCAGCAAGTTAATTTTCTTTAACTGAAAAACAAAGAGGCACAGGAAGGGAACAATACTGCCTTCATACCTAGGTTTCTGCATTAAAAGCCACCGAGTGACAAAACAACCCAGGATACAAAATGATGATTCCAATGTCAGCATCTCTCACCTGCATCTTTGGCCAGTTCAAGGCAGTGGTGGCGCTGGTCGCTCTCCGTAATGTCTTCGAGAAATAAAGCATACTGAGCAACAGCGAGCTCTGGGGGCAAGTGGCTAACATAAAAGGCTATTAAATCCGTGCGCTTCTCGGATATCATCCGCTGCAGAGGAAGAAGCAAATAGTCAGAAAAACATACTGTATGCCTTTGTGTAAACACATAACTTTTGCAGTTTTACAAGTTTCTATAAGTTTGTTTTTACATGTTTTGTGAGAATGTTTTATGTCAAACGATAAACGTGTAACAAATTTCTGATTATTTTGTTCTGATCTAGGAAGATTCCACTTCTCGGCTTCTGAACAACAATCAATAAAACTGCTCTTATTTCAGCGCTGCTGGCAGAATCTCTGCATGTTAGGCAAGCTTCCATGTATCTCTTCTCCAGAGCGTTAACCGCGTCATAGCTCTTTCCATCCTGTAACCTTAAGTCTCCTTTCCTTCCTCCTTTACGTCTACGTTACATCAGGGAAAGCAAACTATATTTTTGAAAGCTTACCTGAATGTACGTCTTTAGGACTTCAACAGAAACTTCCTCCTTATTGCAAAGAAATATAAATTCAATTTAAAATCAGATGATGTAGCCCAAAAAACCCCCCACCAAATAAACCCCCCACTTTACAGGCTACCACTGTTACACGGACTCCAGGTTATTTGCTTATCCCTGCTTCAGTAGTCTACACATTCAAACAGGCTCAGCTGGAAGAACTGTTTCTCTCAGAGAGTGATTAAACAATACTTCTTCTCATTCAAAAATCTTGTGTTCCAAGGACATTGTTTTTCAGCAACTGGATAATACAGTTTCTGGTCTAACCGGAAAGTTACCTTTAAAAATATTTTTCAAATCCTTCCATCTTACCATATTTTTTTAATTAATAAAATGTCAGGCAAACAGATGACTGTTGCAGTGTGTTACGTGCACTCCTGTATTGTAGAAAATTCTGATATTCCTACGTGCACGGTATAAACATCACCCGGCTCGTCTGTCATAGCCTCCACTAAACCACCAGAGTACGGTGTGAGCACCTGCCTGAGACCCAGGTGTTTGTTACTGTGAAGAACAACCATTTCAGTTTTTTAAGTGTAAATGACGTGAGAGATCTTCTAAGCATACACCTATAGGAATCGTACCCAAATATCATATAAGGAACATCCTAAGAGCTTGCACAACTGCCTCTTCCCTCTGAGGTCTACTGAGGGTTGATCGAGTAAATACCAGTAAATTCACCTACTCCAAAACTGTTCAGGTAGTAATCAACAGTTACTCACAATTCCACAGTGGAATTTATGTAGGAAATTGCACCTTTCTTGTCCCCTCTGTTAAACATATGCTAATGACTAGTTCTACCATTCTTTAGCTTGAAGACCCACTTTACCAGATTCTGAGTCTAGCTAAAAAATAGGTATGTACACACACAGACACAAGTTCCTCTTAATTAGCTAAGTGTTAACTGACTTCAAAATAAATTTCAACACGGGAAAGAAGCAATGATTAGAGGCATGAAAACACATCATAACTCAGAGCTGTATTTAAACCATCTAAAGAAAACACACATTTGTCTTTTGCCAAAATAGGTTATGTTCAGAAACTTGATACGTGAGTGCTTTTAAATTTTAAAATAGTAGGAAGGGAGAGTGGCTAATTACTTGTGATTGCCTTAAAAAAGAGTAATTGCAGCTATGTGACCCATCTGCATATTTAGCAGAAGTAGGCTAGGTAGCTAATAAGCTATACTTAGTATATATTTTGAGAAAATACGAAAGTTTCAGCCAGTACTAATTACCTCAAGCAAAAACCTTTATGAGCTTACAGCAATGGGTACAAATTCCAAGGGCTGTGTGTAAGATCAGGTTATACTCAAAGCATCTTGGCTGCTATGAATAAGCCTAATATTGAAAGGTTGAGAAGAACTTGACTCAAAAAGGGCTTACGAGTAGAATCCATCATCCTCAAAAAATAATTTTCAAGCCGAACTGGAGGGGAAGAGGATGTTCTTCTCTAATTTCAACTGTTGTATTTAGGCACTAAGATCAACAAATAGACTATTTAAGCATGCAGCTCCTCATCAGCCTGGTAGAATCACAGAATGGCTTGAGTTGGAAGGGACCTTAAAGACCATCCAGTTCCAACCCCCCTGCCATGGGCAGGGACCCCTTCCACTAGACCAGGTTGCTCAAAGCCTCATCCAGCCTGGCCTTGAACACTTCCAGGGATGGGGCATCCACAGCTTCCCTGGGCAACCTGTTCCAGTGCCTCCCCACCCTCTCCGTGAAGAACTTCTTCCTGATACCAATCTGACCCTCCCCACTTTCAATTTAAACTGTTACCCCTTGTCCTGTCACTACAGGCCCTTGTAAAAAGTGCCCCACCGCCCCGCCCCTGCTTCCTTGTAGGCAATCGTAGTAATTTACCACCGTTGTATGTGGTTTATGTATTTCCACACAAGCATTTCTACTTCAAAGACAAACTACTGCTATGACAACAAATCAAATGCAAGCAAACTTACCCTAGTCTGCAGACCCAAAGTGCGGAAAAACAGAATAAGATGTGTCATGAAACGAAGAAGGTGTCCTGGGAGGACGCTTCTGTCTTTGGAAAGCCATCTGCTGAATTCTTCCATCAGACCTAGAGCCACCAAGGAAATGCTGGTATTAGCTGCATCACAGGGAAAAAACACCTAAATACATTATTCTGAAATAGTTCTTATTTATTGAAAAAATGTAATTTAGCCTCAAAAGCCCAACAAAACAGAACAACAGTAGTTTTGGAAGGACCTAGCTGTTTTGGCTTAGCTATCTGCTGTATGCATTTTGTAATTTCTCAGAAAAAGTGACAGCAGTAGTCTCACATGTGTTCTCACATTTACGCGATTTCATGACTTCTTTGAAAACTACCTTGTACCTCAAACTGCAGAAAGCCCCCACAGTTCTTGATTAAAGAAGCAGCTTAGTTTTTAGGTGGAGTTTGCCTGCTGTGTGCTTCTAAATCCTTTCACATAGAGGTTTCTGGAAAGGTCACTAGAAATAATGTAGGCAGTTGACATTTAAAAATCACTTAGAGAAAAGCTCACCATCCACATCTCCCAGTATAATGAATTTCTGAATCACGTGATAGTGTTCTTGATTCTCCTCTATAACCCTCTGGGGAGAGAAAAAGAAAGTTCAAAGTCTGAATAAAATCTTAGAGCGTGAGGTATGAGGAAAGCAAACTCAAAGCAAAGGCTCCTTAGTGGAAATTTTCCTGTTTCAAAGGGTATTCTGCATAGAGAGCAGGAGAAAAGGCAGTTGCTACCTCAGTGTCAAGTTACAAGAGTATTGACAAACTGGAAGACACAGAATACAGATCGGTGGAGTTCATGCTTTCATGGAAGAGATCCAAGACTAAGGGCTTTTTACTCTCAAGAGGAGAATAATTAAGGATGTTAGAGAGAATAGATTCTACAAAGTCACGGAAGAAGCAACAGCGTGTATAAACCCCTAAAGAGAAGGCATGTGAAACTTCTTTGAGAAAGAAGATTTTTTTTTTGGGGGTAGAGGAATTAATGGATGAAATACAATTCAAATGCACCTGGGAAGCTGCTATATGGTGAGGATTGCACTAGAAAGGCATGGGCGGCCGGGTGTATCTGTGGCTGACTGCATCATGTGTAAGCTGTCTTTCAGCATGTCTTTACCTTAGCAATATGATAAATGCTGTATGTCTATTCCATCAAACAAAGCAAGTGTAGTTTCAATTTAATCTCTACAAATACAGATTCCATCTTAAATCAAGTAAGTACCCTGGGTGTTAAAAGTACCAAAGAAACACAGTCTGTTTAAGCAAGAAACCTTTTAAATTTTGAAAGGCTCCTAGAAAGAAAATGGTACGTAATCAATCTTTGCACGTCTTATCCAAGTGTTAAATGGGCAACTTACTCTGTCTGCTTGGTATGTCTGACAACACCTGACAGTCAGCTACTTCTTTAGCACACTCTGCTAGTTTGGCAGATATGGGGCAAGACAAAACCTGTATCTTTTTCTTCATTAAAAAGTGGCAGCATATAGAAAAATCTATTTGAATTGAGAAATTACACATTACAGAGGTAGAAAACCTACAATAAATCAGTCACTGCATACTTGAGTATTCCGTTAAATAGTGTAGTAAAAGTAGAACCTAGTGAATAGTTAAAAAGTGGTAACTATTTTTTAACAACGAAGAGAAACACTGTAATTAATACCTACCCTTTTGTCTGTTGCCTGAAGTTCTTCAAAAACTTTTTCTGAAGTCCAGCTTCAAAGTAGGAAAGAAAAGGCAGAAAAGGTTACCATGAATATTCCACACAGATCATATACAGGATCCTTTGTTAAGAGCATAATTTTACTTAAAACTTACTTTGTTTCTAAATAATCTCTAGGGAGCTCCTCCATCTCCTCTGCAGTTATTACTGAGGTTCGTATTTCCTGCTCAACAAGGGTGTCCACCATGACCCTGAAATATGCCCAGACAGTATCTTCCCAGGTATCACAAACAGGAAGAAGCTATATATATATATAAAAAAAACCACAAACAAAAAACCAACAAATAATTAAAAAAAACAGAGCAAAAATTATCGAGAGATAGAGAACTACCAGAATCTGATGAGAGCAAATGTAATTTAGGATTAGATTTCTGAATCAGAGCAACTGCAATTTAGGATCAGAGATCACCACTCTGACACCATTCCCCTCTTGTGTACCACCTCAGAAAAGCAGCCCAGGTGATGACTATCCACTTCTCTGCCCAATCATTTTTTGGCAGAGAAAATACCTTTCTGGTTTATGGCATGTCTGCACCAGTATTGGTACAGCAGTGAGTGCTGAAGGGTAGGAGGAAGGAAGTACCGCTGCTGTGGTGATATGAAGACTTTTATATCCAGTTCTTCTCTGAATCTTGCTAGGATCTTTCAGCAATGAAATCCTGGGACAAGCTCCAGAGAAAACACTGCATTTCATGACACACTCTTCTCTCACAGTAAATTTAAAATTACTCAGTCATTTCAGTAAAATTCAGTTCCTAATTTCATGAAGTGTCTCTTTGCTCTGTCACAAGAAAGTACCTTCTGTTCTCTAAGTCCATATAACTTTACAATGCCTTTTTTCCTGTACAAGAACTATTTTTAAATTTCAATGAAAAAAAACCTGAAAACATTCCCTGTCCCCCACTTTTTTTTTTTTGCTTTCTGAATGATCTTCGCCTTCTACTACATACCAAGATGGGGATGGGAAATCAAGCTCCTCAGGTAGGAGCTTACCACCGATTGCTATAACAGCAAGGCAACTTTTATGATAGTCTGCAATGTTCCTCATTATTCTTAAAAATAATAATAATTAAGAATCACTAGTTAGGAGTGGGAGGGCACAAAAATATCTGGAGGACTACAACTAGTAAAAAGAGAGAACTACTAAAAGGTGACAGTAAGCATTGTACAGAGTAGAAAACCTATTGTAACAAAATCTGGATACAGAATAATCTTTGGATACACCAGCTTGTCTTTAAGAATATGTGCACGACCAGAAAAGTGACCATATAAGCTCTTAAATAATACTAGGCTAGAAAAGAACTAAACCAACAACATTAGAACTGTTTGTACTGAAAGCCAGTCAAGGCACGTCAGTCCTACAAAGAACACGTCTACTAAAGCAGGAGTGTTTGCTGTTGTCCGGTTTACTGGATCTTTAAGAGCACAATAACCAGTAACTGCAGTATTTCTGATGGTTTCACTGTCACATACGAGAAAGAAAAAGCACAGCTACCAAACACTACTTAACTAGGAGGCTTGACATACATGTTTGAGGTTTCCACTCAGCGCTGCATAGATTGCTCTTTCGTATCTATTGAACTGCTCCTAAAATAAACAGTAAAAAAAAAAAGTATAACTTTTAAATTACAAAACATACATGTTTCTAGACACTTTACATTTTATTAGAGATTGATTGATTACAAAATGTTCCATCTAGCAGTTTCCAAAAAAAGCTGGACAAAAATCACAGGATGCATCAGGAGCCAAAGTAAGAATAGCAAGTGCCTTCCCCTTTACTGGCATGCCCTTGTAACTTAGCCGAGGAATTTATATTGATCTGTACAGAAAGCAACCTTTTCCCTTTCCCATTCAATTGAGTCAAGATGAAAGTCAAAGTTAGTGTCAGCAGTTTCATTTTCACCCAAATAAAATGTCAGACATTTCCTATGCCTGAAAAATTGGTGCTGATTATGTAGTTTCCTCACTACAAAACATAAGTATGTTTTTTCTGAAGTCTTCTTAAAAACATTAATTGCAAATCCTATAAGCAGCAAACACAGAGGGGCAGGTTTACTTAAAACCATGTTACTGAGGTCAGATGTGTATATTAATAATCAAGCAAATCAGCATTATCTTACCTCTTCAGCCATACGCCAACACGTTATTTTCCAAATGCACCTGTATGGATTCCCTTCAACAGGCTCCAGCTCTTTTCCTACATGCAAAGGACAATCAAGAGAAAAAGGTGCTGTTAAGAAGAGAGTAACAAGGTAAAACCTATTTTCTGCTATTCACCCAATTTCAATCCCTTTGGAACTCTTCCCAAAGCATTTTGATGCTTTTGACTGGACCACAAAGTGACTTTTCTGGGAAGTTTGGTAAAAGTACAGCTTGAAGTAACCGTATTTTGAAAGCACGGATGCTGTCTAGCTTTGAAGAAGACAGTGTTTTTGACTGTAACATGTCTACAGTGTTTACAACTGGAAAACACAAAAGGAATTTTTATGTCTTAAGGAATACAAACTTCTGAAAAAAATATCACTGCCTTAGTGCTGCCAGTCTGCATGCATCTGCATGAGGCCATGCGTCATGGAATTACATCCCAGGCTAGGTAGGTACACCCAAAACAAGGCGAGGACCCTGGTGAAGGATGCAGATAAAAGTAACAGGCTACTGGGATGTGAAAAGTGGGAAAGCATTATGCTTCCCAGACCCAGCTAGGTCTTTGCTAAACCCTATGTTCTGAGCATATTGAAGAAAGGTACTGTTTTATAAATAGGACAAGGAACCCCAGAACCAAGGAGAAAGGGAATTTAACAACTGTCAAATATTTTAAAAGCATCTCTTTTTTCTGCATTTACATTTCCTGAACTCTAGTCCTACCACACCTTTCTGAAGCTGGATACAGAGTCCAACCTTGACTCTGTAAGCAACAAAACATTTGCTAGGTGGCACAAGTCAGATGTTGAGACAACACAGAGTGAAATATTATATGGAGGTCAAGAAGACCTGCCCAGAACTCTAAGATATCAATTTCCTAGTGATTGAGCTTGATTTTAAAAAAGAAAGTAACTTTAGCATGTGAAGTCAATTCAGTGAACTCACACCTTCAACTAAAATAATTTCAGATTAGTTTTTACACATTCAACAGACATGGCAAAATAGATTAGATAAAAAAAAAAAAGGGGTCTTAAGATGAAGGAGTTGTTTCTCTTTCCATCAGACAGACATTAAGAGAAAGCCCTCTGCCCTACTCTACATCTGCTTCAAATGCACTGTGACGTAGATACCTCCATTGATGTTAGGATCGTGATACAATTTCCATCCTTCCAAAGTTGCAGCTCTCCAGGCCTGACCACATCGTTTGCATAAGCGCTGTGCCTGAAAAATAACGGATTTTCTCAGCAACAGACTTCAAGGTAGGAAACCCACTAGCTTCTCCTTTAAAAATTTGAACATTATTAAAATAGTTGATGTGTGTAGAAATTCTATGCAAAAAAATAAGCACAAAAGAACCTTAAACTCAAAGCAACTGAGTGCTTTGAGAACTTTCAACGTGAAATGTCATCTGTGTTTTATTCACTGAACATGTTAGTTTTTTGGTCAGTATTTATAGCAAAGTGAGAAATACACTACAGTCCCAATTTTTGCTAGCTTAAACAGCTGTTAGACATCCTTCTGATAAGTTCAATTTAAGGTGTCATCTTGTGGCTCAGACGTATAATCCATCTCTTTACCTTGTCATCTACTTTTCCAGTCGATTCAGCCTTCCAAACCCCTCCTGAACATCTAAAAATAGCAATCCCACCTTTCCCATGATATTCAAGTCTATCACCAGCACAAACAGGTTTAATTCAAAGCTACTTTGAATAGCATGGAAAGCAGAACAGAAACTGCATAAAAAAAGCCAACCCTGCCTAAAATTTTTCTGATCCCTTCAAAACCCCTCCAAAAAAAGGAGTCAGCTAAAGACTGTCTAATTAGCCTGACTGGTGCTGTTCCATGGAACAGGGAGAGAAATTGCAATATTCAGTCTTGGTATGGTTAGCCAAATTCTGTTCTTTTCACACTGGAAAGCTGCAAACATTCAGCCATTTTGGGAATGGTGACAAACACTAGATTTCAAGAACAGACAAACAAGTTGTTCTAGCTTAGCTGCTGCGTATTACCTACTGCACGGTAAATAAACAGAGGCTCATTCTTAATTCAGGGTAAACTCAAAGTATTTAAACTTACTCTTTCAGTAGTGAATAACCCACTTTGTGCTTATTAGACAGTGGGGATATCACAGCGACTGCGAACAACCAATGCTGCAAACGTATATCCATACTGCCCTGCAGCAACACACTCACGGGCCCATACTATCAGAAAACGAATAGAAATGCACCACAGTGGGGCAGAATACTGGCCAGTGACCATATTCTTGAGCCTAAGGTCTTGGGCATAAGAATCTCAAGTCCCATTTTTTGCCCCCAGTACTCAAATATCATTATATATACACACAGAGCATAGTATAAGGGAATTGGCTTTCAGCTGAGGCCTTTAGACAACACCACAACAGAAGTATTTACGTGACTGAATCATGAAAGCCACATCCCAACTGGGAATTGTTATTCGGAACAGCTTTAGGACCAAAACTGCCTGGGTGATATTCACCTAAGGGTTAATGCAAAGTATACAAATCATACATAGGGCAGGGGAACAAGCAGACTTTCAGTGGAAGAGTTAATGGAGGATAATAACGTGCTCTCTAGAATACTCAGATGAAGTCTAGCAGAGTTTTCACTGCTGAAGACCTTGCCAAACAATAAAGGCAGGAAAACAAAAGGTACAAAGCAAGGAAGTAAGGCATTTGAACTCATAAGAGTAACCACTGTAAATAAGTGCCCTTCTTCCGATGGCAGTACCAGCCTATGGAGCCTGTGCTCTGGTCCCCAGTTCTCAGCCCTGGGACACATCCCAGCGTACCACCACAATGGTTTGTACAAGGTAAAAACCAGCCCCGACTCTCCCCCTCAACTCCACTCACATCATATACCCAAGGGAATACCAGAGGAGTACAGCAAGTAAAGTTTGCTCAATTTAATGCTATTTATAAGGAAAGCATACATCAAACCTTCCTCTCTAGTTAAAGCTGTGTGTTCTACTCCAATACATCCAGAAGGAAGACTGTATCCACTTTTTATTACAGATGCAATTAGGAAGTTCTCTGAAATATTCTGTGTGTTTGTATTTAGTATCAAGACATTACAGTAAAAAATTCTTGTCAAATAACCAAAAAACTCAAAGATACATTTTTTTCCTTAACATCTATTCTACACCCAAAATTACTTAACTAAATGAATGATTTTATTAAAATAATAGTTCAGCAGTTCACCACTGTCAGCATCAATAATAAATTGGAAATCAAATCACTACAAGACAAATTTAAACACTCACTTTAGTCCACAGATTTTCATTAGCTTTATTATAGATTTAAATAACTAGGTAACCAAGAAGATGCTGTAACTTTCTGCAGCTTACCTCATCTGTCAGTCCTGCTCTGATGAGAGTGAAGAGATACTTCAACAGCCTCGCATCATCTTCTCGATCCAAATCATCGAGTGGCAGTTTCTGTCTTATAGGAGCGTCTGGATCCTACAAGAAAAAGAAGTCACCATCCATCCACACAATGCCTATCTGTCTCTGCCAGTGACTTCCTACTCTGCTTTATAATTTGGAGTCACTTTTTCATGTTGGCACAGCAATCTGTACAACCCACATAATATCCAGCACAATACTTCCTCTCTTCTATTCTTCTGGCACTGTTCCTATCAGGAGCCATTGCAATTTCTTTATTTACTCCACCACCTTGGTTTTTTCCCCAAACTTCTCATCTTCCAGCTCTCCTCACCTTCAAACACCCTTTTCCCTTCTGCCTCTCTACCTACCAGACTTTTGCTCCTCCTCCACCTTCTGAGAAGGCTTTTCACAACAGCTGTACTTGCTTCTATTGAATCCAACCAGATTTTCTCAAGCCAATCAACACCTCAGATCATCTCCAACTGAATTAATCTTCTATGACTGCTTCACTGTCACAGAGTCAGTTCCTCCTTCTACTGGACAGCCTTTTCTTTCCTTGACTTGCCTCCTATTAGCTTTTATTCTAATAGCTCTCAAGGAATCCCATCAGCACGTGATTGTGACGGGATGTGAAGACAGCATATACGCCTCTCTAACCCATTTTGATTCCACCCGTATTTTTACATAATACTTACCAACTCTGTTACCAGAGGTCGAGAACTTCCAATGTATGCACTGAACTGTCGCTGCTTCAGGATATGTAGTGTGTTCTCCCTGAAAGCAGTGAAATGTTTCATGTTTTTGACAAAAATGGTGGGGTTTGGGTTATTCTTTCTCTGGTTGGTTGGTTTGTGGGTTTTGGTTTTTTTTAGCAAGCACCGTTTAGTAAGACATAAATATGGAAAGATATTTTTTGTTACATGGACTATGGTTACAGAAGAGACATACTTGATTTGGTTCCTTTCTCAAGGGACTGTGTTACTGTTGTGAAAACGCAACAATTCACAAGGAGTACAGTATCAGAATCAATTCACATATCTGATTTCTTTCAAACAGCATCCATTATTTCAACCATTCATTTATTTAATCACAAATTGATTTCTGCATGAGCAAAATTTCCCATTAGCGCTGGCTATAAAGGCAGTCTAGGACAGAAATCCCAAGTTTGGATGAACACGTGGTTCCAAACGCCTGTATTCACTGACCATTATTCTAGGTATCTAGAATTAAAGGTAGGCTTTGGTCTTTTCTACCATAAACCCCACCACTGACATAAAGGCAGCAATAACAGCTTCTGGTGAAGGGTCAGTGACACAAGAAGTGATGACAAGAATTTAAACAGGCAAAAACTAAAGCGAAAGAATGGACCACCTGAGAAACACATAATAAAAATGGTTTTATCCAGTGCAAGTAACAGGCTGATCAGCAGGTGACCATCTCTTACTGTGCCTTATGAAAAAAATGAAATCTACGTCCAGGTTAAAATTAAGTTGCTTTGATGGTTTTCCTTCTATCCCAAAAGCAGTCACTGACTTTCAAGACAACACACTTTGATGGGTAGGGAGGAAATCTCAATTTTTACATCTAAGAATTTAAAGAAAAGAAGTGAATAGACTGAATAACTTTTAAAAATCCACTTATTTTTCAGAGTGATTCCGTGTGAATCTTACACTTGATGGCAGCATGTATACAATCAAAGAAAGTCTGCACTCACCAATATACAGATTTTGCATAAAACTCAATATTATCGGAGAAGTCCCCAATTTCATCCTTGGCAATACTCTCTAGCCAATCTACCACCAGCTGGAACAAAATTAAATTGCATTCTTAAAATGAACACAAAACAAATAACATTTTAACTGCCTTCACCTCCTCCCTGGATCTACTCATTATCTACCTGGCAACCAGAGGTGTACACATCCTGAAGACGACTCCACTTTCATTTTAAGTATGAAGGTTGCTTAGGCACTTAACCTCTACTTCTTACTAATGGCTAGACTGCCACTTATCAGCTTATTAATCACCATACACAGTAACAGATGCTCCAAATGGAAATAGCTCTCAGCTTTCCATTCCGTCCAACCTAGCCTGAAAAGCATTTCTGATCTTTTGAAACCAGAGAGCATTATTTTCATGCATACAAAGAGTAATACACTTCAGTGAATATAAAGAAATAAGTATTAGAAACAGCTTAATAAAGTGCATAGAGCATCAGTTTTATAAACATTTATGTGTTTACAGATCTATTTCAAGTCTCATCTCAAAAACCTTCCATCATACCTGGCTTTGTCGAACAAGTGAATCTTTCTGAAACAAGTTGTCTACATTCGTCTTTTCACTAGTCGTTAAAACCTATTTAAGAAAAAGCTGATTACTACTTCATGGAAGAGAAAGCTTGACACAAAACCATGAAATCAACACATACTAACTCAAACTTTCTGCAGGTTGGGTATGCTACCTCTCCCCTACCCCTTTTTTGAAAATCAGATGACATTATACATTTGTTTTACGATCAGAGGGCTGGAGCACCTCTCCTGTGGGGACAGGCTGAGAGAGTTGGGCTTGTTCAGCCTGGAGAAGAGAAGGCTCCGGGGAGACCTTATTGCAGCCTTCCAGTACCTGAAGGGGCTACAAGGAAGGTGGGGGGGACTTTTTACAAGGGCCTGTAGTGACAGGACAAGGGGTAATGGGTTTAAATTGAAAGTGGGGAGGTTTAGATTAGATATCAGGAAGAAATTCTTCACAGAGAGGGTGGTGAGGCACTGGAACAGGTTGCCCAGAGAAGCTGTGGATGCCCCATCCCTGGCTGTCTTCAAGGCCAGGCTGGATGAGGTTTTGAGCAACCTGGTCTAGTGGAAGGTGTCCCTGCCCATGGCAGGGGGGTTGGAACTGGATGATCTTTAAGGTCCCTTCCAACCCAAACCAGTCTGTGATTCTATGTGGATTATTGATTACATCCAGTTACAGTAAAAGCTGTAGAAATGAAATTCACAATGTATGACCACAGAAAGATGCTTCACAGTAGATCCACTGACTGACTGCACTCATACTACCCTAATTCCCATTTATTATTGTACACATAAAAAAAATATTACATTTTCCAAGACCATATCCACACTTAACATGAACAACTGGAAAAAAAATCCAAACACCACCAAACACAAACAACCATAAACCAAAAACCTCAGCCCCTGAACCCTGATCCTTCTATTTGCTCTCCTGTATTAATTTAGCTGTCATTAGACTTGCAACAAAGAGAACACAAGATGCATTTTCCTAAAAAACACAGGTAGAAAGAGCTCAGGCTTTGGCACTACACTGTTTAATTTAATAGCGACAACTTAACAGTGGGAATCCTAGAGGAAGCTATTTTATGACTGAGAAAAAAGCAACTGCCATCACAAATTTTATAAAGGCAGAGTCACTCTGCTTATTGTTTTGTCTTCCTAAGCATATTCTGGCAGCAAAGGCTGGAAGCACTGCAGTGACAGAGACAAGAAGACTATAGCTGAAACAAGAAGGCTAAAAAATTTGGATTTCTCTCAAGATAAATTGGAATCAGGACTGCAAAGACTAGACAGCTTGAGACCACATGTTGTTGTTCTAGGCAAAGCAAAATTTCCTCTGACCTATGGGAACATTACTGCTACTGATGCAACATTTTCAAAGAAATAAAGTTATATCTAGTGGATCTCCCAAGTGTATGTGGAATATTTAAAGAAATAAAACATGAGGTACAATTTCTAATAAATTTACACTAGCATTTTCTATTTAGAACTGAACACTTAAATTCACTTTTCACAATATATAAGTATATAATACTTGTATATACAATACTTGTAATACAAGCATATAATACTTGTCTTGATAAAAATCAAGTCAGGCTCAGTTTTGTTTACATTCTTTCACTTTTGAAATGAGTGGCTGCAGCACTGAGATAGTAAAAATAAAATACAGTCATTTAGCTTGTATTTAGTTTATTATATCGCTTAAAACGATATAGAGAGCAGCTCCGACGAAAAGG